ATATCTAATAACTCATCTATGTAGAGATCTAGAGGAGTGAAGGACTTAATTAATATCTAATAACTCATCTATGTAGAGATCTAGAGGAGTGGAGGACTTCCAGCGTTGGTGTCCCGTGTGAAGTTGCTCTTGATGTGGTGACTCTTTGTCACTAAGTCACGTGATGTTACATCTTTAGCTGGTTTTTAACACTAACCAAGTTGTTTTTGTTGCTTCGACCATCTTTCTACGCGTAGATCGGCGGTTCGATCCCCGGCTGCTCCGAGGACGTGATATCGTGTGACGTTATGAAACGTAGCTGTTAGCTGTTACCTGTTACCTGTTAGCTCTGTCAGCGCTGTTGTTGTTGTTGTTGTTTGCACTGTTAGCGCTTTTAGCACCATTAGCTGTTAGCCGCCAGTTCGGCCATGTTGAGAGCCGTGTGGAGACAATTCGTGAATCATAGATTATGATCTGAATTATATATAGAGAGCCTGTAACAAAAAACACATTTGCTTCCAAAGGTTTCCTTCAACATAGTTTTTTGTACACTGTGAAGTGAAGAATGAACTCAAATTAGCCGCTGATGTTAAATCCCGGACGCATTTATACCTGAAAAATCTGATCTCAACGTAGGTCGGAATCCCCCAAAGATCCCAAAATCACTTCTGATCAACCAATGCAATACGAGCTACATGAGCTAATAACACCGCTGTCTGTGTATGAGCTACAAGCTGTCTGTTCTGAGGAAGGTGCAATAAAAACCATGAAAAACTCTTCGTACTATTGGTGTGTTTGGACGAACTGAGGAAATAACCTTCTCGTGATGATTGTTTAGGGTTGAATATTCCATCAGGTATCCAGACTAACAGGTGGACAGCAGCACACTGACCTCATCTCTCAAACACACGGGTCCTTAAATGATCCTGTTCTTGGTTGGTGGCTCTAGAATCTGCTCTCCAGGTACACGGACACATACATGACTTATTTCAACATACTATGAACTGTTTTATGCCTTTCTTTTTGGATATGCTATGTTATGACTTTTATAAAACTATTTATGATTTATCACTTTATGACTTTTTATTAACATGCTATACTTTCACTTTTTAAAACCTTTTTCGACATACTATACTATGAAGTATAGTGAAGTATGAAGTATAGTATGTCGCATACAATGAAGTACAGTATGTCGCATACTATGAAGTACAGTATGTCGCATACTATGAAGTATAGAATGTCGCATACTATGAAGTA